GTTGCAAGAGATTTATTAGCCATTCAAGTATCTACTATGGCATGTGAGTCGGCGTTTAGTTGAAGTGGTAGATTTGTGAGTCCACATAGAAATAGGCTTAACCCGAAGACTGTAGAAGTTTTAATGTGTGCTCGGGATTGGCATTGGACTGATATTCATTGTAGGATTTATTGTTTTATATTTGTTATTTATGAACTTCCTTTTATTATTATTTTTTCTATTGTATATAGAAAATTCTACTCCTTCATTATACTTTGGAGCTTGTGCAACGTTTAGCGAGGAGGAAGCTAACGAAGGGGGTACATTTTTTTAATTTAAATCTTAGTTAAGACCATTCTAAAATAGGTAATATCATTGTATTCTCTGCTTACATTTCTTATTTACTATATAGGAATCAACTTTGAGTATTGATTTATGCTAGTAAGACTTGTGGGAAAGAATGAATCAAGTAACTTCGATGCACAACAATCAAGAATGAAGAAAAAGTTTGGTATTGTTATATTCATAATATTGTTTGTTAAATATGTATTTTACAATTGGAAATCGGGATAATGTTTGCATTTTCATTTGGAATATTGTTTGATAATGTTTGCATTTTTGTTTGGAATGTTGTGTTTTTGCTTTCGTTGATTTTTTTTTTCATAAATTGTTTTATAAATTGTTTCATAAATTTTTTTTCATAAATAAGATTTTTCAGCAAAAATGTTTAAATGGGAAAATATACTTATTTGTAAATTCTCCACTTATTGAGATACAAATTCATATATTATATGATCCTTTTTCTTAGTAGATAGTAGTTGAGTTGGAGTAGCAATTGGAGTTGGTTGATCCATCGAGTTGAACCACGTACCATAATCAGTTGCATGACTCATTTTGTGAGTTCATGCAGTTTTAATTTCTTTTTGAGCACATATTTACTACTTATTACATCGAATAAGTCATTGGAGTTATATGTCTTAGTCTAATGGGCTCGACGCATATTATACTTATTTTGTGCATATGGGACATTTTCTCGTAAAGCAAATTAAAATTTTTTGTTGGCTCTTTATTTGATTACTACATATTAAAGTGTTTGTGGTGGGTTCGGTGCGTACTTGGCATTTGCCATCGACGCACATCATGTTTCGGATCCATTAAGGCAACTTGGGATTGATCGTGTCACGACTGTCTTGATATGTACTATTAGGTGTATGCATAGATATTTACTACACATCATTTTACTTGTTAGGTTAATTATCCTCTGTTGATATAATTTTTTCGCTTATAATTTATATTTAAGTTACTTTTTCTTAAGTAGTAAGTCCAATCGTTAATAATAATTAGAGGTGAAAAGAAATGGGAATGAAAATGCTGCTTATAAATAATCAATAAAACAACCTAAATAATTAGTGGTATCAATCGAGTCACTCATTGTTGAAAGATATACAAAAGGGCCCACTTATCGACATGCGTTGTCCTGAGTTTTGTATACGGCTAGTCTCAATCCATTTTGGATCACATGCCTATCTAAAATTGGGACAGGACAATGTTTCGCGGGGTGCCTTTGAAGCTGTGGTCCTTGACACGAAGACTGTATTATTTTTGAATTTTGTTTATTTTTCTCCTTGCGGTATCATCAAATCCTGCATGATTCATTTTCATAGGCAGCCCCACCAGGCCCTCTTAAGTCCAAGCTAGTGTCGTTCACGTTGACATCATTAATAGAATGCGTAATGTATTTGTACAGATAGGTTGGATTTAAATGAATTGGACATTGCATGAGCAAGCTTGAAGGATCATATAATAGTAACAAAATTGAAAGAATCGGTAGAGGGTGGGGGATAAGATGCAGCAGGAGCACACTGGACTACTTCGCTGGATACCTCATCCTCAACATGGTTACACATTTTTCAATAAAATAGTATCACACATAAATATAAAAAATTTTCTTCTCTTTTGACCAAAAATTCTTCAAAAATTCACTAATATTCCAAATTTCATTTTTCCTAAAAATTTAATTTTAATGGAGTTTAATGGAGATGTCTTTCACAAACCATTTCACCGAAAGAACAATTTTTTCTTACTTTCTATTCTACTAAAAAGAGGAGGAAAGTGCTAAGCAGAATAAAGATTGAAAATCAAACATATTAATTAATATAGTACAATTTAGCCTCCGTTTGGCCCCCATTTTGTAAAAATGAAAATGGGTGGAATAGTATTTTTTTGAAAAATGGGTGGTTAAAAATGAAGATTTTTTTTAATTTACGTGTAATATTATTTTATGGAAGATTGTGTGGTTGAAAATAGGAGAGAGAAAAATGAAATGTAGTGGAATGAAAATTAATGGGGGCCAAACAGGGGTTTAAAATAGTCATGAATGGCAGACGAAAAAGGCAAAAGAAAAGAAACGAATCTGCTATAGTAAAATTAGTTGTGTTATATGTATATTACAACATAAACATGATGGGTGAGATATGATTGGATCAAAATTTCTTCTATCAAATTTAAAAAGAAAAAATTCCCTATTTTTGACACCTGATGATCTGTAAAATTTTATGTAACTCCTTATGTACAAGTAGAATTATTCAAATAAAAAAGGATAGAAAAAGATTGCTCTAGTGTACTATATATATATTCAGATCAGGATTGCTACATGTAGAAAGAAAAATTGTCATGCAAATGTCTAATAGATCTAAGAATGGTGTTGCTTGTGGGGGAGTGACAGTGGTGTTGGTGGGTTGTGGGAATTAGTGATAACGATGGTCGAATTATTTTTGTCGACGAGGTGGTAGTGGGGTCGAGGGTGGTTCGGGTTGCAAGGGGAGAAATCACCTAGTTGGTAGCAGTTTCGGTGACCGTGTGAGTTGGGGCTAAGTTTTTGTGGTTTTAAGTGATGTTGAACACCAGTCCAACTGTCATAATGTGATAGGATTAATTGACGATGGAATTATATGATTCATTTAATTGTGTCTCTTATTTAACACCAATTAAGTATCATCTAGACCGGTGTTATAAAACCAATAGTGATAAATAACATTATTAAACAGTTTATGGTTTGGAATGGGGAAGATAAATATTTTATTTCTCTTATTAATTATTTTTTGTTAAAATTATTAAATTTTTTGTAGTTAATTAAATGTAAAAATACCAATATACCTTGCATTAAGAATACCAATGTACCTTGGATGTAAACCATTAATGATTCTTCTTGTGCACATATATTAAAAAGTTCAGGATGTAGGTGCTAAGAATAAAAGTGTTGGGATCTAACTACACATTTTTTAAAGGTTTGATACCCCTACTATATTTTCTTAATTTTAACTTTGTCCACCTCTAATACCCATAAAAGGTGAGATCACATAGATGACGTATGAAAGGAGTGTTATGTGCACTCTACATCCCTTTCGGGGCCAGTAATCATGTTGTAAAAGGATCCACAGTGAGGATAACTATATCTTGAATGTCCAATCTAAGTGTGTATAAATTGTGGCGCCATCCGACAAGTGGCGAACCAAGGGAGAAGGTCGTCACTCCTCCAAATTAGTCGGACGAAATTTACACTTGAATTAAAAAAAAGAAAAAGAAAAAGTGAGATCACATATATAGACAAAAACTTTAATGGATGGTTCACCTCGTTAAATATTTACACAACATTTAATTATGTATTAAAATTAAATTAAATGAAAAAGTTAGAGTGAGAAAAACAATCAAATTCATGAAATCAATAACTTATTTTTGGCCTAGGCTATTTTTAAATTTTTTTTCCTGACCTTTATTTTCATATAGCAATATTTACATATTATTGAATTTGTAATTCTGAAACTAAGTGATCAATTTTACAGCTATGTAACTAGATCTTTTTTTTTCCTCTCTATAATATGTAATTTGTATAGATAATTATCAATAAAAGTTTATTTTTCTCTTTTTTCCCTCAACTTTGTCTGATATAATTTGTATCCAAGATATGAAAATTTCAATATATGTGTTCTTTATGCAACAATGCATTAATTAAAACCCATAAATATATATTTTGTAGAAGATTCATATAAGTATTTTCCACAAATTATTACCACAAGTTTTTCGTTAATAGTACACTATGATTTTAGTAATATTTATTTGGTCAAGGTCGTCTTAACAGGATACTGCAATCTAAGTTAATTACCAACAATTATTGATAATGAAGAATGATATTTACTTTGAAAGACAAATCTTGACTTATGAAGTCTTTAGCACGTTAAAAATCTTAAAGTTCCTGACCCCCCCCCCCCCAAATAATAATAATTATGAGTCTAAAAATTAAACTTTCATAGCATGATAATTTGTCCAGAAATCCTAGTACAACCATGCTAAAGTACTATAGTTTCGCACTCTTCTTCTTCTTTATTTTTATTGAACCTACTGCTTCTGCTTCTTTTGCTGAAGCCAATGCTTTGTTGAAATGGAAAGCTAGTTTTATAAATCATAACAACACGATACTAAAATCGTGGAATCTTGAAACTAAGAATTCCACCAATTTTTCTAGCCATCCAAAAGCAAGTTCTAGTCCATGCAATTGGTTTGGAGTTTCTTGCATCAATGGAAGTGTCAATAGGCTGAACCTCACAAATGCAAGCATTCAAGCCTTCTTCTATGAGTTCCCGTTCTCATCTTTCCCAAATCTTGCTTATATAGATCTCTCACTCAACCACCTCTTTGGTCCACCTCAAATTGGTAAATTCTCCAAACTTGTCTATCTTGGTTTATCTACCAATCAGCTTACAGGAACTATCCCAGCACGAATAGGAAAGCTCTCCAAACTCAACTATCTCGATTTATCAACCAATCATCTCACGGGTCAAATTCCAACTTCCTTGAGCAGATTAACTAGTTTAAGAACTCTGGATCTCACTAGTAATAAACTTTCTGGTCCCATTCCTCCCGAGTTGGGAAATTTGACATCGCTTTAGGACTTAGGACTGAGCACAAACCATCGCACTGGTCAAATTCCAACTTCATTGAGTAGATTAACTAGTTTAAGAACTATGTATCTCTATATTAATAATCTTTCTAGTCCAGTTCCTCCTGAGTTGGGGAAGTTAACATCGCTCCAGGATTTGGAATTGAGCATGAATCATCTCACGAGTCAAATTCTATCATCGTTGAGCAAACTTACTAGTTTAAGAACTTTGTATCTCACTAGTAATAAACTTTCTGGTCCCATTCCTCCTGAGTTGGGAAATTTGACATCGCTCCAAGACCTAGGAGTAAGCACAAACCATCTCATAGGTCAAATTCCAGCTTCGTTGAGTAGATTAACTGGTTTAAGAACTCTATATCTCCATACTAATCATATTTCTGGTACCATTCCTCCTGAATTGGGGAAGTTGACATCGTTCTAAGACTTGGAATTGACATGAATCATCTCACACGTCAAATTCCATCTTTGTTGAGCGGATTAACTAGTTTAAGAACTCTATATCTCCATACTAATCAATTGTCTGGTCCCATTCCTCCTGAGTTGGGGAAGTTGACATCGCTCCAGGACTTGGAATTGAGCACGAATCATCTCACTGGTCAAATTCCATCTTCGTTGAGTGGATTAACTAGTTTAAGAACTCTATATCAAGATACTAATCAACTTTCTGGTCCCATTCCTCATGAGTTGGGGAAGTAGACATCGCTCCAGGACTTGGAATTGAGCATGAATCATCTAACGGATCAAACTCCATCTTTGTTGAGTGGATTAACTAGTTTAAGAACTATGTATCTACATATTAATAAACTTTTTGGTCCCATTCCTCCTGAGTTGGGGAAATTGACATCGCTCCAGGACTTGGAATTGAGCATGAATCAGCTCACGGGTCAAATTCCAACTTCATTGAGTGGACTAACTAGTTTAAGAATTCGGTATCTCCATACTAATCAACTTTCTGGTCCCATTCCTCGTGAGTTGGGGAAGTTGACATCACTTCAGAAGTTTGGATTGGGTAATAATTATCTCACAGGTCAAATCTTGGTTTAATTCGGGAACCTTAACCATTTAAAACTTTTTAGTCTATCTGAAAACCAACTCTCTGATTCCATTCCAAGTGAACTAGGGAAATTGAAGAAACTGGTCAATGTGTCTATGTTCTCTAATCGTTTTTCGGGTAATTTGCCAGACTTATGTGGTGGAAGAATATTAGAAATATTTATTGTGAGCTCCAATAGATTTTCAGGTACAATCCATGAAAGCTTGAGAAAATGCTCGAGTTTAGTTAGACTCCGGTTTGATCACAACCAACTTTTTGGAAATATTTTCGAAGAATTTAGTATATATCCAAATTTGATCTTCATGGACATAAGTAGCAATAATTTCTATGGTGAACTCTCGAACGTCTAGGGTCATGACAAACAACTACAAGCTCTAAAAATTGCAAAGAATAACCTTACAGGGAGCATTCCCCTAGAATTTGGAAGTTTAAGTCAACTGCAAGTGATCTTTCTTCAAACAAGTTGCATGGAGAGATCTCGAAGGAAATTGGAAGGTTAAGTTTACTTCTAAATCTATATTTAGAGGATAACCAACTTTCTGGAGGTATACCTAAAGAATTGGGATCGCTTTCATAGCTAGAAAACCTTGACCTTTCTAGAAACAGACTAATAGGTCAGATATCGGGAAATTTAGCGAACTCTGAGTAGTTGCATTACTTGAATTTGAGCTTCAACTATTTAAGCCAAAGAATCCCTCATCAGCTTGGTAAGTTAATCCATTTGTCCGAGTTGGATATGAGTAATAATCTACTCACCGGAGAAATACCATCTCAACTATGAGTTTTGACAAGCCTGGAACTAATAAACCTCTCCCACAATCACCTCTTAGGACTTATTCCTAAGAGTTTTGAAGAAATTCCAAGCTCGGTGGACATTGATATATCTTCTATTTAGTTGGAGGATCCAGTTCCTAGCGACAGAGCCTTTCAAAATGTCTCTATAGAACAACTACAAGGGAACTAGGGTGTGGCAATATTGCAGGATTACAACCATGTAAAACCGTTCCCGATTAAAAACAAGAATATGTGGAATGAGCACAGGCCCATTTTGACAATTGCAACCTCTCTTCTTTGTGCTTTACTTCTATATGCATTCATCGAGATCCTCATCCTGTATAAATGCAGAAGGAAGAATCCAATGAAGGTAGATGATGATTTGCTCACCATACTCAATGGAAACTCAGGTATAAAGACATCTAAGAGGCCACAAATGGATTTGATCCAGCATTTTGTATTGGAGAGGGAGGATGTGGAAAGGTTTACAAGGCAGAACTTTCATCAAAAAAGACAATAGAAGGGAAAAAAATTTATCATCTGAAATGGTTACAGTAGCAGTTAAAAGACTTCATTTATCTTCTCAAATGGCAAACTTTGAAGCTTTCCTGAGTGAAATATGAGTAATGACAGAAATTAGGCACCGAAACATTGTGAAACTTTACGGCTTTTGCTCAAATGATCAAAACTCACTTTTGGTCTATGAATACCTCGATAGAGGTAGTTTGGCAAAAACTCTAAGCGTGGATGAAGAAGCCAAGAAATTGGATTGGCCTAAAAGGGTTAATATCCTGAAGGGCGTGGCTCATGCTTTGTCTTACATGCATCATAGTTGTTCTCCTCCAATTGTTCATCGAGACATATCCAGCAACAACATTTTGCTTGATTCATAGTACGAGGCTCATGTTTCAGATTTTGGCACTGCTTAGTTTTTTATATGCAATTCATCGAATTTCAGCTCTCTTGCAGGCACATATGGTTATTTTGCTCCAGGTAATATTTCTTTTTCTTAATTTCATTCACGGAATATATATACATGATTTTGATTGTATTCTTTCCCTATTTTTTGGGCAGAACTTGTATTCACAATGAAGGTTACGAAAAAGTGTGACGTGTATAGCTTTGAAGTGTTAGCATTGGAAGTGATCAAAGGAAAGCATCCAGCTGAATACATTCAATACATAACAACTCCATCAAATGGAGATTTACGGATGGAAGATTTGTTGGATCGACACATTCTTTATCCCACTCGAGAAGAAGAGGTGATTTTGATGTTTGTTGTTAAACTTGCAATTGAATGCATGAACTCCAATCCACAACATCGACAAACTATGGCACAATGTTTCTGATATGCTAGTACACTAACCATCTTCTCATGTGTGATGTCTGGATAAGTAAAGAAATGAATTGTTTTTATGTATTTTGTACATTTCACACAATACTACTAGTCAGGATTTTCTTTACAAAGAAGTTTTCTTCTTGTTTTAACTTAGGTTTGCTATGTTGTTGTTTCGCAAGATTGGCTTACAAGTTCATATGAAATTGTGAATTCTTGAAACTCAAGTATATCTTCTACTCTTTGTAATTTGACATTTAGCTACTGATAAAATCAAATAATAATATAGCAACGTAAAATAGCTGGTAAAATGTAATAGTTTATATAAATATTTTTTTATATTATAACTAACACAAATTAAATTAAAATGGTAACTAAATAAATAAATTGAATTTATAAAACTTTCTCAAAACTTTTGTTTTAACACAAATATCCTAATAATGGGTGGCGTTGACGTAGAGGATTGGGAAATCGAAGCTGGGACCTATTCCCCATCAACTTATCTTTATTTTTATGTCCTTAAAACTTGTATTGTAATTAAAAATCCATACCCTTCCTTGAATCTTGTTTTTGACATTTTAGTTTCTAAATTTAATTTATATTTTAAAACATGGCCCTGTGTCAACTCTTATTTTTAATTGTTTTCTGTTTTTAATTTAAATCACAGTAAAATAAATAAGATAGGTAGAAAATAATAAATTAGTGAAATGAGAAAATTGGAGCAGAACATGAAGATATTTTAATACTTATTGCATCTTTTGAAAGTCCCTAGCAAACCATGCCACCCGGCACTGAGCCATTCCTAGCAACGTACTCTTAGAGCAAGCGGCATGACAAGAACAAGTGCGGTAAAATTAGGTTTTCAACAAGTTTATAAACATCATCTATGTTCAAAAATTACAAAAGCCTTTCTTATTTCAAGTTTTAAATCCCAATCGTTTTCAATAAATACACAAACCTCCCTTATTTCAAGTTCGAGTCACACATACCTACCCCTATAAAGTTTATTAGATTGTCGAATAACACAAACCACCCTTAAAATATTATTAAAGTTAAAGTTTGAATTCATTGGATTCTTGAAAGTAAACTAACTCAAAGCTTTTCCATTTGCTGGTGATTTGCGGTTTCTCATACTATCCCCTATAACTATCTCAGTGTGTTGCGTGTATGTGTGTACCTTTAATGGGGTTTTGAAATAAAGAAAAATTGTTTAGATACTAATTCTGTATTTACATAGATTTGACCTACCTTATGCAATAGTGAGATATTGAGCTTTCTTCTATCTATTCGTATAGAGTTTATTATCTTAACAATAGTGTCTCTACACATGGTGAATTAAAATTTTGGGGATAAAATAGAATATTCGTAAGCCTTGAAAATACTATAAGGTGCTCGAAAATGGTCGAAATATTCAAATATGAGGATCACTATGATGTATACAAGAAAATATAGCTTTCCCGACCAATTTTCCCCAACCAACCAAATTCTAGTCGATGAAAACTCTCTTATAATGACCAATAGAATTACTTGGTCGGCAAAATCTTTACCGACCCAATAAAATTAGTCAATAATAGTCTTTTGTCGGCCAAATTGTTTTCCCACTAACGTATAATTAGTCGGTGAAACAATATTTACTGACCAAAATGTAGGCGAAAATAATACATATTTTTCTACTGAGATTAAAAATAGTCAGCCAAAATAAGATTTATTTCATCAACTTTACGTACGGGTAAATATTTACATTGTCTACCTCAAGTTCAAGACGATAAATCAACAAATCAAAGGATAATCAAACAGATCAACAACAATCACGAACAACCAGGGAAAATGAAAATAAAAAATACTTTTAATTATTTTAAATTACTCAGAAATGAAGATTTCGAAGAAAAAAAATTCAATCTTCGCCATTGCAAACATAGATCTGATACAAGATGATGAAAATAAAAACATATCCAGAGTGATAATAACTGAAGCATTAAATCAAAATATAAAACAATGCAAAATTCATTAAATTAAATGGAGCATTAAAACTAGAATACAGGGAGAAAGAGACGGCCAGATTTATATTGTACTTCCATGAGAGAGAGAGAACTTACTCCTGGTTAAATAGGCCTTCTAGGTTTTTTTTCAAAAAAAATCCTTCTCTCAGTGCCTTGAAGTTTTCTATCCATTTTCAAGCGTAGCCGTCGTTTTCTCTCCATTTCCAAGTGCTGTCATTCTTTCTCCATTTCCAATCTTAAAGTAAGTTTTTTAGTTT